CTTTCACTCATGTGACAGAGTTTAGAAATTTATTTTTTTCTTCTTCAGGGCCTGACATTTAATTACTAGCTAGAAAGATTATAATTCAAAAGAACCTTGGTGGAATTTGGGAGGGGTTTGGACTCTGGTCAATTTAATTAAAACCCTAAGTTAAGAAACACATTCATTATATCTACTTGATGTGCATGGTTTTACTATATAGTATGAAGCTGTAAAAGATTTAGTGTTGTTCGCCAAGTGATTTAACACAATTGTTTCAGAAAAGTAGTCAAATTATATTAGCAAAGGATGGACATCCCCATGTATAAAAACTGAAGTGACTTAATCTGAATAACTCATAAACGTCAGCAATGTTTATTGAATGTGTGTGCACATTTTAAGGGTTAGTTTATTTTTTAAATGAAATTGTTGCTAAAAGTCCTTTTCATATCTATATGTGTGTGATGTGTATGTATTTTAACATGTTGTATAGATTATATTTGATTATATATTTTATACAAATATATTTTTAGATATATATCTATTATATATAAGATATATCTATATAGATATAGATAGGCCGGTATAAAACAGTGTGTGTGTATGTGTGTGTGTGTGTGTATATATATACACACACACACACAAACATATATATACATGTTTTATAAAGATATCATATATATATATAAGTTAGAAGCCTCTTGTCAGCTCTACAACCCAGAAGTGGTTGGGTTTCTTTGTTTTGTTTTTTGAACATCTGGGAGCCATCATACTGTCACCAGAGGAGTTTAACCTTGGTGCTTCTCTCTAACCCAGGGGCCCTCAAACTACGGTCACGGGCCACATGCAAATACAAATATTGTATTTGTTCCTGTTTTGTTTTTTTACTTCAAAATAAGATATGTGCATTGTGCATAGGAATTTGTTCATAGTTTTTTTTTAAACTATAGTCCGGCCCTCCAACAGTCTGAGGGACAGTGAACTGGCCCCCTGTTTAAAAAGTTTGAGGACCCCTGCTCTAACCTATAAACATTTCTTGTTAGAGAGGTAAGAAAGGTTTTTTATGCTTGTTATTTGTTGGATAAAGGCAATTAGCTAAAACAAAGAACTACCTCGATGGTCAGGTGAATTTAGAGTGAACTATGAAAAGGTGCACAGCAAGTAATGCTGGCAAGTCCTTTTTCAGGGAGCAGGTTACCTTTTATGTTGAGGATATATGTATGTAATGATTGTAGTTCCTTGGCTGTGTAAATAAATGCGGTTTTATCTGTCTTTTTCATAGATTACCTACAGTGTTGTGCTTTGACTATGCTTATCTCTCTATATATAAAAGGCTAATATGCAAAATGTCCCCTCAGGAGTTCAACTGGGAGATCGGAAGTTCGATCACTCGCTATGACTTGCACTGACCACCAGGGAGTGGCACAGACCAAAGGAAGGCCCTGGCTGGCAGCTGGCAGCTGTAAGGAAGGGCCTGGCCAGCAGCCGGAAGGCCCTAATAGGCCATGATCGCCAACCAGGCCTAGGGACCCTACCTGTGCACAAATTTCATGCACCAGGCCTTGTTCAACAATAAAACTGCTTTCCTTCTACATTTTGTTGGGAAAATTCTGTGGTAATAGCACCTTATTTCCCCAACACTATCCACATTCATCACACAAGCTGTGAAGGGTACAAACACAAACAAGATTTGATGCATGCCCTGTGGAACTTATATTCTAAAGAGACTCACAAGTAACTCTGTCCTGCAAGGCAGTGTGAGTACAGCTGGGGAAAACAGAGAGCATAGAGGCAGTCGAGGAGATTCAGCCTGGGAGAAAGTCCAACTCACAGAAACATAGGGTAGAATGGTGGTTACCATGGGCTGGGGCTAGAGGAAATGGGGAGAAATTGATCAACAGGTATAAAATTTTAGCTATAGATAAATAAGGTTTGGGAATCTAATGTACACTATGGTGACTATAGTTAACAGTGCTGAATTGTATACTTGAAAGTTGTTGAGAGTAGATATTAAGCATTCTCACCACACACACATACATACACACACACACACACACACACACACAGATAACTGAGGTGGTGGATGTGTTAACGTGATTGTGGTAAATATTTCACAAAATATATGTGTATATGAAATCATTATAATGTACACTTTAAGTGTGTACAGTTTTGTCAATTATATATAAACTAGAGGACTGTTGTACAAAATTCGTGCATGGGTAGGGTCCCTACGCCTGGCTGGTGATTAGGGCTAATCGGAGCCTTCTGGCTGCCAGCCCAGGCCTTCCTTCGTTCTGTGCCGCCCCCTGGTGGTAAGCGCATGTCGTAACGAATGATCATACTCCTGGTTTCCTGGTCAAACTTCTGAGGGGACACTTTGCTTATTAGCCTTTTATATATAGATAAAGCTGGGGTGGGGGGATAGAGCAAGGAGAATAAGGCCACAGACCCAGGAAAAAGGAAGACTAAGAGGGAGTGGAGGAGAGG